AAAGTGTATATATATATTTGGATAAATTTGCTGTTACACCTGGTATATATATATATATATATATATATATATATATATATATATATATATGATATATTAAATTCTTTCATTGGTTACACTCTCTCTCTCTCTCTCTCTCTCTCTCTCTCTCTCTCTTCTTATAAAGAAATATTCAAGATACTTGAAGAAATTATTATACAAAAACGTATTGTTTTTCAGAAGACAGCACTTGGAGCCCTGCGTGCTCTTCACCTCTAACTAAAATTCATGACACGCATACGTATTCTGTAAAAGTGATATTCTAATGCATTTTGTGTGTGGATCGTGAATTTAAATCATTTATAGAGAAGGTGCCGTAGCTGAGAATACTGTTTGCTAGGTTAAGAGGACAATTTAATCTTGAATACCGAAAATGTTTTGTCAGGCCGGAAGTCGTTCATGATGATCAAATCATAACTCACAGATCGTTGAGAGATACTTTTCACATACATATAAGCATTATAAGTTACTTGAAACACCTGGATACGCAGAACGCATCGATGTTTGTGTACCTAAAAACTTAATGGGAAAAATTAAATAGACCGTATTTTCATCTACGATACTCTGCTCAATCGCAACAAAAAAAAAGATCAATTTATTAAACAGGCGATGAAAAATGGATTGTTTAAAACAACTTGGAGTGAAAGAGATTCTAGGAAAAATGAAGTGAGACACCGATAATCACTCTAAAGGTCAGTCTTCATCCAAAACAAGTGATCCTGTGTAGCTGGTGAGATTAGAAAGGCATTGCGTATTACAAGCTCTTTCCGCAAAAGCTGAAAATTTAATTCAGACAAGTACTCTTCCGAATTATATCTTTTTTAAAGGCAGCAGTTGGTAAAAAATCATCCGGATTTGGTGAATTGGAAGGGTGTAGACTTCCATCAGGACAGCGCCAATCGCGACAGAAATTGGTTCAAACAAATTGGAATGTCTCGCTACATCCGCCGTACTCACCTGAACTTGCATCATCGGATAACCACTGATTTTGTTCCCTACAAAGAACTGTACCAAATAACAGAAACCACATCACTTGAGGATTTCTTACAACAACGAAAATGGGTAGCACATATAATTCAAAGAGAGAGTAATGACATAATCAAGATACTGAGATTCCACACAACCTCAAACAAACGCCTAGTAAGGAAAAACCTCCATCAATAGAAGAAAGAGCAATAACAACTACCAGACTTGAGTAACCTAATTTTCTGAAAAATTATTTTAAAATAATGATTTTGTAAATGTCAAACGACATAAGCACTGACAGCTCGGTCAATTAATGTCGAATGTTTCCTTATAATGAAACGGCTAATATTACCATTAGCATAGTATAATATTTGTAAGTATATATATATATATATATATATATATATAAAAGTTCAGAGCAGATAACATTAGAAAGATTTTAGAGTTCCATGAAAATAAGTGGATACAGCTTATAAAAGCACACTATCCAGCCGGACTAAACCATAAATTTAACAATATAGATAGTATTAATATATAACCCTACAAATCAAAACCTACCTACATTTCTCACCCACACAAGACAGACATGCTTAGGGAGGTGTTGAGGCCTCACACTTATACACACACCCACACGAACATACACACTTGCACACATCATACTCACTCACTCCCTAATGAGCCAAATGATAACACACACCCACAGCAATATACACGCTTACACATATCATACTCACTCACTCCTCAGGAACCAAATAACACACACACACTTAACAGAGACACCTCCCCTCTCCAGGAACCAATAAAACTGTCAAACTGACCAGGGAAATTCGGAGCAGCATGGATCCATCCAGCTCTTATCTCAAATAACAACTTAAAAGAGACTGTTTGACCAACACGAGGAATGTTAAAAGATTAATGTTAAAAATTAAAAAAAATAAAAAAACAAATGAAAACTACAGACAAAAGTTCATTTTCTCCATCAAACAATTCATTTCTGTAGTTCACTGCTACCAGCAAGCAGAAATATTTATTCTCCTGATGATGGCCATTTTGGCCGAAACTAGTCGAGGAATCTAAATCAAATAATAATAATAATAAAAAAGAAAGAATATTAATCTACAACACAGTGTGTCTGAAGATTTTAATTTTTTAATATTTTTATTGTTCAAAATATGTATATATATATATATTGTTCAAAATATATATATATATATTATTTATTTATTTTCATTCATATTAATTTATTTATATTCATATTTGTATGAATTTATATTAAATAAATAATTGTATTGTTTAATCAATAAACGAAGCAATTACTAAGATTCGAGTGACAGATAAATCTGTGTATAAAGACATTGTTCAACTTTGTGTGTTCACCGACGCACAATATATATATATATATATATATATATATATATATATATATATATATATTGGACATTGGACTGACAAAGTACTGCGGTTAAGTCTTTTATTTAATTTTTCTTTTGTTCGTACTAGTTTTTTTGGGGTTTTTTTCTGGACACTAATGGTGACTCCGAGGTCTCCATTACTCGTTAATTCCTTCGTCGCTTTCAATGCTGGTAAAATAAAAATCCTTACACCGAGTTATGAAACAACTCTTAGTCTGAAGATCGCATTGAGGAGTAAAACTGATAGTCACCAGCTGATACCCATGTCTTGTATATATATATATATATATATATATATATATATATATATATATATATATATATATATAATAAATTAATTGATTTAAAATATGGTTTTTTTCGCTACACAGTTTCGAAATTTATTTTCTCCATATTTTCTTCTTGTTAAAAATAAAGATATATTTTAAATCAATTAATTTATAATATTAATGCTCTGTAAATTTACATTGAGCACTATTTTGTAAAAATAAAAATATCTATAAGAACACCGGATTTTATATCTTTGTTCTTTCTTTTATATATATATATTATATATATATATATATATATATATATATATATATATATATATATATATTTATGAATCTTGTCTTGAAACAGATTTTCTCTGACTCTTAAAATAGATATATCTACATAGTTTCGTATCCTAACGTAAAGAATGCAATTTATAAAGAAAGATTTTTTATTTATTAATCCGACGGATTTTTATTACTTTAACGTTATTTTTAGATGATACTTGTATTTGAGTAGACGTTCTGCTTATTTATTAAACAGTATATTTATTTATATTCATATTTGTATGAATTTATATTAAATAAATAATTATGTTGTTTAATCAATAAGCGAAGCAATTAATCAGATCCGAGTGACAGATAAATCTGTGTATAAAGGCATTATTCAACTTTGTCTGTTCACCGACGCACAATATATATATATATATATATATATATATATATATATATATATATATATATATATATATGCCAATTGCCATTTGGTTGAGAAGGAATCTGAATAAACAAGAGAGAGGAACACGAAACAAACAAAATTTAATAAACATTCCTTCCTTCATGAAATTAGGTTTACCATTCTGAAATCTAAATGGACATATGCATCCCTCAGGCCACATGAAGACCACGGGCACCAGTTTGCATATAACTGATTTATAACAATGCCTACCTTACTAAATTTTAACAGAATCACCAAAAGCAATTGTAAGATAAATAGGAACAACATATCCTGCAGTCAGAGCAGCGATGGTGTGTCTAGTATAAGATTACCTGACGGAGCCCATTCTTCTTTAGTCTGGTTTTAAATTCAGAATTTTCTTGTCTGATCGATAAGTTGCCACCTAAGGCAAAAGTGTACAGTCTACAGGTTGAGTAAGATAAAATCGTCATTTTTCCATGGGCATTAATCCGAACAGAATCGGGCGAGGATTGAACCCGACATACGAATTCGACTTTCTGTGACGATAACCGTCACACTATCAGCGCTTCCGAAAAATTGCTCCATTCATCTTAGCGTCAAGTACTATAAGCGTGAAGTTCCCAACAGCAAATTTATCCAAATCGTGTAACGCCATAATTATCCATCCCACAAAATGTTTAATATATAAAAAACCGCGAAACGAATTGAGTTTCTTTTTCAAGGTTTTCAGATAAGACGATTAGGAATATTGACACAATTTTTCATACGACTCACTGAAAAGCCCTTGTTCAGCTGAAAAGAGAGCGGGAAAAAATTGTGTCAGACCCACTGTATTCCCAACTGAACAATGGTGAGAGCAGAAAGATCATTCAGGCCTTCAGTAATGATACCAACATTTATACTCTAGCTTCCATCTTCAAAAGTCAATTCAAGAACCATCAAGAGAACGGGGAATAAAATGGGAACAGTAGAGAGGAAAACTGTGTATATATATATATATATATATATATATATATATATATATATATATATATGACAGAGTTTTTTATTCGACTTGTCATATCGATTTCTATGAAAGCTCCTTTTTCTAGATAAAAAGTTTGATCTTTTATGAGAATATATAATGCGCCTGAGCGTGATATATGCATTCACCCTTACACAAATGTCCCACTTCAATCTGAACAAGATTTATATGACAGCACTTAGAGCCATTTCAAGACCTATTTCTTATACAACAGATGCTTGTCGGTCAAGTGATCGGCGAGGACACACGGATAACTTAGGTCTAGCTTTTTATAGTTTCTTGCATGTCATGGTGTGCGTAAACTGGGAAGAGATAAGATCATTTTGAGCGGTTTATGCTCATGGAACTGATTGATTGATTTGTTTTTTACGGCTTATCAACCTTTTGCAGGTTATTTAAAGCCAGAACATATTTCTTTGATTGTCAGAATTTTTTTTTTTTGGAGACATTAATGATTTACTGATAGAAATCTTACTATTTAACTCATAGATGGAGGGAAAGGTTGATTCATAGCTTGCCAAAATGTATTTGTGCTTAAATAAAAACGAACCCAACTCTTCGATTTACATTTGCCAACCGTTATCCATAACAGTGCCGTCACCTCCAAGCTTACAACACCTGGTATTCCCAAACGGTCACCCATCTAGGTAGATACCAGGCTCGACGTTGCTTAACTTCGGTGATTGGACCGGTATCAATCTTTCAACGTGGTATAGCTGATGCTTCTAGTAACGCCGTTGTCAAGTTTACAATTTCTAATACAACGCTTTAATATACAGGTTAGGGCAGAATTACTCTTCCACTTAATGGTAAGCCATTAGTGGTAATGGTGTCTTTATCTAGCTGCTGTCTTACCATTACGTGGAATGTATATGCTGATTTTCCAAGCGTAGCTTAGATGCGGCACAAGGTCGAAAGTAATGGGCTCCCAGTGAGGATCGATCTCACTACTCAGTCGTAATTGTTCTAGCGAGACAAGCTTCCTAACAATTACACCATGTCAAAGTGCCCATGTGGAAGGTATATGTGGGAGGTATTTCTGCCGCACCCTGTATAAAAGAGATTAAAGAATAACTAATAAAAGAAAAGAAAACAAAAGGGAAATATAAATCGCTTTCTTTTTTAAAATTGATTATGCATTACTTTTGAAAAATAATACTTTGCAGACGCGCTGATCTTCACAGTAGGTTGTCATTTCTTTCTGCCGTAGACCAGTTGCCATCCAAGGCTATAGAGCCCGGTCTGTCCTGCTATTTACCCATAGCTGGAGTGAAAAGGAGAGGATTCATACCTTTCCCAAGGGCATTAGCAAGTAAGTGAATGTAATGGATTCGACTGGAATTCGAACTCGGCTCTCCGATTCCTCAATCCGAGGTCAATTGTTTCCCAAAAGCAGAAATTACTTATGAATCAACCGAATTGTTAGTAAGGGAATTTATGACCGAAGTTGCCACATTGAACTATGTGCTGTGTCCAGCCAGGAAGTTGGTGGTCATGCCTCTCCACAATTTCCTTTCTTTGTAACTCTTAATAAATTTTGTCTTTTTTCTATCCCTCCCAAATTCTATATTTCTAACGTCTCCGCCTAAAACTCTGAACTTTTATTTCCTATATATTTACTTTTTTTTTACCTCAGTTGATAGGTTTGCCGATCACCTGGTTCACAAATATTGCTGACCTTTTGAACAGGAGTAGGGGTTTATCCCTTGTTTCCTGTACAGGATTGGATTTCCAGTTCTTTATAAAATCTTAGCCTTCTCTTTCACTTCCAGTAGTCCCTGTGGCCGGGTGTGAAGATTTAACCTTGCCTTTTGCGCTGAACATTATCATATATAACCCAATTTTCATATGTTATGATATTTATAAGGAACAGTTAGTTACTATGATGATACATACGTCATTACAATTGGTTCTCAAAAACGGGAACTACTTATGACTCAAACTAATTTATCTTAGCTAAATTCTTTTCAAGATATAAAAATAGAAATTAATAAAATGAAGACCTGAATTGAAAGAATTAATTCCAGGGAAATTCGCAGTTTTCATAGTTCAGTCTAGCTACATTGTCAAGTATGATGTCTCTAGTAGCAACAGGAAGCTACTAGATCGATAAATACAGTCTGAAAACCGATGAAGCATTGCCATAATGCACTGAAAGCGGGTAAGAAGATGTGGTTAAAATATGGAAGAAATGCACTTTTTTAGGTTTAGTAATAAATAATATCTGAATTTCTGGGATGATTATTTATCATTATTTATACTATTTATATTCGGACTATAGTCCTCGTCTTTGTTGTTTATATTACAACGTTTCAGCCGTTGTGTTTTCTGGCCTTCCTCAGGTGTATATTCATCTGGGTAACCTACAGTAAATTCTGAACTGAACCCTTTATTTAATCTAAGGGTGTAGACTGTTCTTGTTCCAATGCTCATGTCTTGGGTCACCGTCTGGCTTTTATTTAGCACTGTTCACTTATTGCTCGCTCATTTCCACTGCAAGTACATACTGCCCGTCCCAGGGACTGGATGCTTGAAATTTAGACGTCTGAAAGAATCAGTGCATATGCTAGGACCTCCTTAGTGGGCCTAGCATAGAAATAAATCCAATATGGGAGCCGTTAAGAAAGAAAGAACGACAAATGACAGCAAATCTTCAAACGCAGCAGCAGTAAGCAAAAACATGGGGAGTAGCAGCTGCAGTCAGAACATGACTGCCAGCAGCAACAGCAGCAGTGGCAGTGGTAGCTTAATCATCAGTGAAGGTTGGGTTAACTCCAACAAATTGTACTAAGGCGGAATGGCCTAGTGGATAAAAGCGTTGGTTAATTTAATCCCTGGGTCGAACAGTGTGTATTTGCACTCAGTGGAAACAGGTGATCAATAAATGAAAGTGCTAAATAAAATAAGAACTAGACGATATTCCTAGACTTGAACAGTGGAACAAGAACAGTCTATCCCCGTAGATTAAGTACAAGATTCACTTCGGAATTCCCTATAAGTTACCCAGATCAGTTGAAACGCTGTAATAAAATTAAAAAAAAAACACTTAACATAAGGATACTCGTTCAAATGATACATACAAATTTAGTGTGATATATCTAAAAGAGAATATGCTAATTTTTGTTTGAATTTCTGGGATGAGGAGCTATCATTATTTACACTATTTATATTCGAACTGTTGTCCTCATCTTGTTTTAATGACAACGTTTCGGCCATTTGCTCTCCGGCCTTCTTCAGGTGTACATCGATCTGGGTTTTAACTGAGTGAAAGTACACCTACGAGACAAGGGCCTAAAAAGTGAGTAAAAGCGTTGGTTTGTGAATTTAATGACATAGTGGTTGTGAGTTCAAATACCTAGGTCGGTAGTGTGTATTTGCACTCAGTGGAATCGGGCCAACAATAAATGAACAGTTCTAAATAAAATAAGAACTAGATGATATCCACAGACATGAGAACAGTCTACCCTCGTAGATTAAATAAAGGATTCAGTTCGGAATTTCCTATAAGTTACTGATATACATATACATGACATACATATATACATACCGGTTGTAACAGCAAAATTGTCCAAATCGTGTAACAGCATGCGATAATTTTCCATCTACAGAATTTTTAATATCTAAAAAAAACAGTAAACTAATTGAATACCTTTTTTTTTCCAGGTTTTTAGATAAGACGTTTAGCCATCTTGACACCATTTGTCGTAAGAATCACTGAAAAACTTTTTGAGTTATTCAGTTAGAATTCAGGCCTTCAGTAATGGTATCAACATTCATATTCTGGTTTCCATTTCAAAGTCCAGACAAAAACCATCAAAGAGAACGCTGAATAAGTTTTAAAACAGGGAATTGTAGAGAGGAAAACTGGATCAGAAGGTCATAACAGAAAGAGGGATCATAATTTCAGCGTAGAGCTAAATACATTCTTATTGTTCAAAGCAGAGTTCAATAGTGTTATAAAATCTTCGGAGAATGCCAGTAAGATATCTTTAATCATTTCTAAGATGCAACGGTTCAAAGCTTAATCAAACAATAGGGGAATTTTTTTTCTGTTACACGATTTGGAAAATTTTGCTGCTACACTCGGCATATATTATCGATATATAAGGAAAGCCGGATATGTAATACAAACAACAAAGCTGGGATAATAGTCCAATTATAAATAGTGTAAATAATCAATTTCTGTTACGTTATTAACTTTATCCTTCAAAAAATAAAGTACAATTATATTTTATACAATTATATATTCACCATTATTGCAAATTATTTCGACTTATCAGGCACCTCTTCGCAGTTTTTGATGTGAAAACGTTTTTGAAGAATTTTTATATCTGGTTTTCATTAGAGAAAATCGAAAAAGGCAATAATCGATTGTTGAAAAGTCTGGTCAATATGTGGGTGGATTAGAACCGACCAAACGAATTCCCAATTTTTTCCAGTGTTGTTTTTGATGTATGGAGAACAACGTTTTTTTTGTTTTGTTTTTTTTTCGTATTGACGAGTACCGAGTGTTTTTCGATTAAAATTATGACACGTTCCAGATATTGAACGTATAAATGAGCATTTAGTGTTTTATTTGCGTTTTAAGAAATCTAAATGAATAATACATTGACGATCTCACCACAGTCCGTTGTGAAGATTTATCCCTGTCAGTTCACTGATTTTGAGTTAAACTGGGTCGTATGGAACCCATTTTTCAGTACCTGATAAGATATATTTTAAAAACGGTTAGTTAAGATAATACATTTGTTAGTACAATTCAAAAAGATTATACATTTGTTAGTACAATTCAAAAAGATTATACATTCGTCATTACAATTCAAAAAGATAATGCACGCCTCATTACAAGTCAAAAGATAATATATCCATCATTACCATTCAAAATCGTTTTCCGAAATGGAAACTTATGACTCAATCATACGTGGTCTTATGATAAACTAAAAAAAAAAAACTTAGGGAATAACAATAAGGTCAGATTCGTCATGATGTAAACAGGCCCAACAATTATTTTCGCGTAAATTTTATCCTAACTGGGTGTCTAATTCTTGAGATGTTCTGCCGTAGAAAGCATTGTCTGATAAAAATTAAAATGGATCTTCATTAAAAAATCAAATGTGACTTTCATTACTGAAATCGCTGTTTCCCATCCTGGTTGTCAGCGGTTTTATTTGAAAGCAAATGAAGGACAAAAGTCCAAACTTTGTGTAATCGTTCAGTCGGTATAACAAATGATTTATAAGTTAAAAATATTAATTTATGCCCTTTTTCATTGGTGTTAGGGTAATTTTTCTTCTTTGTGTGCGTGTGTGTGTGTATGTGTGTGTGAGTGTGTGTGTGTGTGTATATGTGCGCGTGCATGCGTGTACACCTGTACGTGTACATGTGTAGTTTCTTGTCTCTTCATACGCTCTCATTATTTCTTTTATTTTTACTATCTTTCGACTCGGATTGTCAAAAGATAATGGAATAAGAATGTTATTTCCGGTGTCAGAGACAGGACTTATTGTTAGGCTAATTTTTCTTAAATATTTTGGGGTATTATTTTTTTACATATAGGTGTATTACGGTTTATATTTATTTCGGTTAATTTGCAGTTTAGCACCCGCGCTCAGTTCGCATTAAAAGTTTCCCGAATACTTACATTTATCTGTAATTGTACATGCTCCATTCGAATCTGGTTTGATAAATTTTACTGTTCTGGAATTATCGACAGTAAAAGTTCGAATTCATTCGCGTTGTTGGCGGCAGCCATTACTTATGTTGTTTGCGTACATTCGTTGCGGATATATATATATATATATATATATATATATATATATATATATATATATATATATATATATATATATATATATTCCCGTCAGCTCCTTTATATTGAAACGCTTGCTTTGTAAAAAAAATCCCCTATACAACGTCAGACATTAAATTATTCAATAATAGTTGACGTGTTGTAAAAATCAACTAATCCTAACGAAAACTACTCTAGTTGATTATTACGACTGGGCAATGAGTTCGATACTCACCATGTGACCCATATACAATTCCTCATTAAATCTTTCCACAAGAGTTGACATGTTGTAAAATCAACCTACCTGGCCTAACGAAGCCTAACTGATTATTACTACTGAGCAATGAGTTCGGTCCTCACTCTGTGGTCTCATATAAAATTCGGCATTAAACAACCTAAATAAGGCTGAAGTGTCAAATCAACCAACCTAGCCTAATCTAGCAAGGTTGACCATTGCTTTTGCGATGAGAGTTCGATCCTTAGTAAGTACCACATGCACACTTCGAAAATAAATATCCCAAAATATACTGACATGTAAAATCGATCAACCAAACCTAGTCTGGCTGACCGTTACTAAGTAGTGATTTCGTTCCTCACTGGGTGACCCATGTAAAATTCTATATTAAATAACCCAACAAGGGTTGACATGTAAAATCAACCACCCTAATCTAACCTAGTCTGATGGTCATTACTGCTGCGAAATGAGATGAGTACTCACTAGGTGCCTCCACAAAATTCGACAATAAATATGTCAAATCAACCTACCCTAACCTGGTTGATTATTACTGATCCGAAGTGAGTCCGGTCCTCAACGGCTACCCCATATAAAATCCGACATTAAATAACCTAAACAGTGTTGACCCAAACAGTTCAATCAATGAACCTAACCTAAGCTGACCTAACCCAGTCTGGTTGACCACTAATGTTGCGTAGTGAATTAGATCTTCACTGGATGACCCATACAAAACCAGACATTAAGTAACCCAAATAGTCATAAAATCAGTTGACTTCACCTAACCTTGTCTGGTTGACCATTACTAGTGCTGCGTAGTGACTTCGATCCTCACTGGGTGACCCATACAAAATCGGTTATTAAATAACCCAAATAGTGTCAACCCGAATAGTCATAAAATCAATTAACCTAACCGAAACTTACCTAACTTCGTCTTGTTGACCATTAGAACTACTGCGATGTGAGTTCGATCCTCACTGGGTAACCCATACAAAATCGGATGTTAATTAACGCAAATCGTGTTGACTTGAATAGTCATAAAATCAATCAACTTAACCTAACCTGACCTATTTAGCATAGTTGACCATTACTGCTGTGTAGTGAGTTCGATTCTCACTGGGTGACCCATACAAAATCAGATATTAAATAATCCAAATAGTGTTGGCCAGATAGTTTTAATATTAATGAACTTAACCTGACCTGACCTAACCTAGTCTGGTTAACCACTACTTCTGCGTAGTGGGCTCATTAAATAACCCAAATATTTTGACGTGTTTTAAAATCAATTTTTTTTTTAGTTTTTGAGTCTTTGTGAAGAAAAGCTTGATAACTATCAGTAACATTTAGGAAGCAGTAAGTGAGTAAATATGACCGTAGGATTTCCGACCGTTCTCAGTCAACGTTCATCTGTAGCAACGACCAGGATGATCCCCGTCTATGCTTGCTGTCCAGTCAAGCAGAAAAAAAAAGAAGGCGCTTATTTCAAGTGGAAGGAGAAAAGCCGACAGTGTAACTTGTGTTTAATGACAACGAAATGTGACTTTCATCAATTGTACATTGCACTGTCGATGTCATTAATACATAAGCGATCTGATCTTTGGTCTTGTAACGCTGAGATCTTTCTCTTTCTTCACTGGTTGAGAAATTGTCAGCCATGGCTTCAAATGCCTTTGTCTGTATTTTTACAATCGTTTCACATCTGCTGCAGCCAAAAGGAACACTTGACGCCCAGGATTTATTGGTCATCTTCTCTTTTCTGCTTTCTGTTTGCTGACCGATTTCAAATGGAATTTCGATCACGACATGTATTTCAGTTCTTCTATCAATCTACATATATTACTGAATCAGACTGTTCATATCAATCCAAGTACGCCTGTGTTTCTACACATCTATCTATCTATCTATCTATCTATCTATCTATCTATCTATCTATCTATCTATCTATGCCAGTCCCTTCATATTTATCTAAATTTGTTCATATTTATCTATTTATTCACTCTCTTCATATCTATCTATCTATCTATCTATGTCCATATTTATCTATTTATGCCAGTCCCTTCATATTTATCTAAATTTGTTCATATTTATCTATTTATTCACTCTCTTCATATCTATCTATCTATCTATCTATCATATTTATCTATTTATCAGTCCTTCATATCTATCTATCTATCTATCTATCTATCTATCTATCTATCTATCTATCCTTTTCTGTCTGTATGTATCTAAGCCTGTTCATCTATCTAAATTTATTCATATTTATCTATTTATACCAGTCCCTTCATATCTATCTATCTATCTATCTATCTATCTATCTATCTATCTATCTATCTATGTCCATATTTATCTATTTATACCAGTACTTTCATATCTATCTATCTATCTATCTATCTAAATTTATTCATATTTATCTATTTATATCAGTCTCTTCATATCTATCTATCTATCTATCTATCTATCTATCTATCTATCTATCTATCTATCTATGTCCATATTTATCTATTTATACTAGTCCCTTCATATCTATCTATCTATCTATCTGAATTTGTTCATATTTATCTATTTATTCAGTCTCTTCATATCTGTCTATCTATGTCCATATTTATCTATTTATACCAGTCCCTTCATATCTATCTATCTATCTATCTATCTATCTATCTATCTATCTATCTATCTAAATTTATTCATATTTATCTATTTATATCAGTCTCTTCATATCTATCTATCTATCTAACCTTTTCTGTCTATATGTATCTAAGCCTGTTCATCTATCTATCTATCTATCTATCTATCTATCTATCTATCTATCTATCCTTTTCTGTCTATATGTATCTAAGTCTGTTCATCTATCTATCTATCTATCTATCTCAATATGTACATATTTATCTATTTAGCTATTCAAATCAGTTTCTTCATATCTATCTATCCTTATATTTATCTGAATTTGTTCATATTTATCTATTTATATCAGTCGTTCACATCTATCTATCTATCTATCTATGTTCATATTTTATTCATCTATTTATATCTGTCTAGCCACATCTATCTATCAATATAACTGCCCGTCAGTCGCTCTGTCTATCTGAATCCGTTTATATTTATCTATATATTTTGCTTGTCTCTCGCCCAACCACGCCAACACATAATAAACAAAAGGGTTTGCAGTCTAGGGGGTTGCAGTCTAGCGGGTTAGGTGGCCAGATGTAAAGGGTGATGTCGTAGAAGAAATTCCGGACAGCCATGACTCGGTTTTCATGCTTGTGTGGCATGCTCCAGAGTCCTATTGCCAGACATTGGGTCTTCCAGCAGACACCTTTTTGACATAGGGTAACACTACTTCCCGAAGGCACTTCATGTAAGCCTCCGTGTTAAATCTGAGGCCATCACCAGCAAATTCAGGTCTTCTTTTCTTATCCGAACGATCAAATTGAGTATTCTGAGCTGCCTTTCCTTCGTAATCAGCATTAGAATCATTCATTTTTTTGCGAATTCCATGCATTGTCCTCAGAGCGTCATCCAAACATTCTAAAATTAGAGATTCCGGTGGGAACGCAATGCAGTACAACATGCCGTTTCAAAATTTCTGGCGGAGTGAATTGCTTCCTGGGGCTTTTTCTCTCACAGTCGGTACCCAAGTGACCCTACTATAATGTCGACAAAATAAAAACAAACAAGGCGCATGCGCAAAATTAAAAATAGAAATGGCGACAATTTATCTATTGCACCCGGTCTAGAGAAAGGAAAAGATTTAAACAGTTGTCTATTGTTTGTTTGTTAGTTGGTTGGTTGATTTGTTTGTTTGTTTACTTTGAATGTTATAAATCTTACTTCATTCATTAAACACTGAATTTGACTTTCAAATAGTAGCGATCGTTGGAATAAAAAGAGTGAGTTGGATTTTTTAAAGTATTATTTTTAGAATTGTTGGCAATGAAATGGTTTGTCAGAGAATGCTCATAGATTATTAAAGTGCGGCATGAAACTTCCAGACTATGACATGAGGGAGTGGTTGGAATAATGATGCCCGGGTGAACTTTTGTCCCAGAAAGAACATTTGTTCACGCCCGTCTGTCTGAAACTCAATGGTATATATATATATATATATATATATATATATATATATATATATATATATATATGAAGAAATATAGTTTTAAGGTGTGCTATATTTATGGGATAAACAGCCTGTCGCCTCTGAGTGTTGACTTCAATGTTCACTTATATATATATATATATATATATATATATATATATATATATATATATATAAATTGTGTGTATTTGCGCACCAAACCCTCTTTTATACAAGTTTCATTAAAGACAACTGATAAGGTACTGCAATTAAGCTTCTTATTTATTTTTTCTTGTGTTCGTATAAGACTTTTATTTTCCGGACATAAAGTGTGTAAATTTTGTACAAATGTTCTGCATATCAGAGAGCCTTCGGCTATTCTTTTAGCTATTATAGAGGATGATTTTTTTTTAAATGAATATATGGATTTTTTTTATGTATGTCCAGCTATAGGAATGTTTAATCTCCTAAAAACGATAAGCACATTGTGGCCGTGTGCATAGTTGATTCTATTGAATGTTTGATTTTTCAATATATTCATTATTGTTTCCATTATTTTTAGTCTTTTTTACGTATGGATGAGGCGATTATTCTTTTATTTTCTACAGTTATATTTTGCGGATGGAGTTTTGTAGCCTCGATAATGGTCAAAAGAATAGCCAAAATTGCTTGGATATGCAAAGCATTTGTCCAATCTTTACACATCTTATGTCTAGGAAAAAACACTTATACTAACACAAGAAAAATTAAAAGGCTTAATCGCAGCACCTTGCCAGACGTCTTTAATAAAACTTGTATATATATATATATATATTATAGATATATAGATAGATAGATAGATAGATATTAATTATTCTCTCTCTCTCTCTCTCTATATATATATATAAATATATATATATATATATATATAATATGGTCATATATATATATATATATATATATATATATATATATATATATATATATATATATATATATATATATATATATATATATATATATATATATATATATATATATATATATATATACATATATATATATATATTTAATATGGTCATATATATATATATATCTATATATATATATATATATATATATATATATATATATATATATATAATATATATATATATATATATACTATATATATATATATATATATATATATATATATATATATATATATACATATATAATATATATATATATATATATATATATATATATAATATATATATATATATATATATATATATATATGCCATATATATATATAATATATATATATATATATATATATATATATATATATATATATAATATGGTGTAACAACAAAATTGTATAAATAAATATTTAATATATATATATAATATATATATATATACGTATATATATATATTTAATATATATATAATATATATATATATATATATATATATATATATATATTTAATATATATATATATATATATATACTTTGTGTAACAACAAAATTGTCCAAATTGTGTAAAAGCAGCATTGCACATTCGTTAGATTAAGCTTTGAAACGTTGTATCTTAGTAAGCATTAAAGATATCTTCCTATTGGACTATAGTTTCAGCAATAAGAATGTTTAATTACTCTCCAAGTTTAACAAAGGATCGTGAAGAAATCGATAATAAACGAAAATGACATAGCTAAGTATCGGAATCTCATGAATGATTGAAATTAAGTTCCTATATATATATATATATATATATGTTATTCCAGGATCATTCCAAATTCCAAGGTGCCTCACAGGTTTCACGTACGATTTCATTTTCAACTCTTTTTTTCACTGCTATTTTGTCTGTCATAGGTGAAATTTCCCTCTCATGTGCGAAACGTCTTATGGATTGAGTTGGATCTTTTCTAATGATCTCTCTAATTGAAATGTTGAACCCTCTGCCTGATGTGACCTCCTGATCCAATTTCCATCTACTGTTCCTTGTTTTTTAAACATATTCGCCATTCTCATGACGGTTCTTTAATCGGCTTTTAAAATGGTAACCAGAGTATGAATGTCAGTATCATTATTGAAGGCCTGAATGATCTTTTTCCTCACACCATTACTCATTTGGGAAGACATAGTGGAGCTGGCAAAAAAAGATTTTAACCTGTTCTCTTTCTAGCTGAATAATTCACAGGGTTTTTCAGTGATGAAAATTGTGTCAAGATGGCTAGACCTCTTTTTCTGAAAACCTGGAAAAAAGAAACTCAATTTTTTTTATTGTTTCTTAAACATCAAGAATTCTATAGGATGGATAGTTATGCTGTTACACGATTTGAGCAATTCTGCTACTACACTCCTATATGTATATATATATATGTTATTATTATTTTTATTATCAATTCATTTATATGTATCTATCATTCTGTCCATATCGATTTGAGTATGGCCTTATCTATTTCTGCCTGTACATTACTGCATATATATGTTAAATGTTCTTTGTTTTCTTGAAAGATATGTCGGATATTTACTAAGCTTAGCTTAGTCAGTTACAAGGGTTTAAAATGACAATCGAAACTAAGAAATTTGTAACGGTCATTCAGACCAGCTTGTTAATCAATACTCAACTGTAAGGCGCTCATGGTTATACTTATGCGTCTGGACAATATCTAAAGCTGTCAAATCTTTCAGGGTATTCTCATATTTTTGTGATTCCAATATACCAAAGTCGGGTTGATTTTGCCTCTTACCGAAATCTAACTTCGACATCTTTTCACTAGGGAAAAAGTGTATTCTTTCTCATAGTGTTAAATCGAACAGCGCATATAGTCTGCGTTAATTACTTTTATTGTCCTTAGGAGGGAAATTGTGCTGACTATTTTTCAGTGAAGGAGAAATTAAAAAAAAAAAAAAAACGTGTGTGATTAAAATTTCACTTTCTCGAGTGTTTCAAGCCCGCGTTTTCGCTTCGAATCGAAAATACTCAATGAAGATCTTTCCTCGGGGGAAAAACTCCATTTTAACAAGGAAATCTCCTCGCCTTCTGGATAATTGCTGATTCGTTAATACACGGGCAAATAAAAAGGTAAGCACATCCTTCCTCTTCATTCTATTTTGTGTGATGGCCGATAATTCAATAATTCTCAACCTTCGTAATCTTTAAACTAAATTCTGCCGAGTTCTTTTTTTTTTTAATTAATTCACCCCCAAGCACCGAAATAAATCTACTAGGACGGAAGGGGTTACTGAGTGTTAGGGAATATTAGAAAATATTGCATTTGAACTTTTGAAGATCAAAGTTGACAGGAAAGCAAGAAACCGGAAGCAAGAAACCGGAAGCGAAAAACCGGAAGCGAGAAACCGGAAGCAATAAACCGGAAGCGAGAAACCGGAAGAGATGTCAACAAACGAGAAGTGCGATAGAAGAAACAGTTAGCATAGAATTTACGCTTATATCTAGCCGTTTCAGCTGTAAAATGATAAGACCTGGGCGCCAATCTAGTACAAAGCTTAAATTTATAAATCTAGGTATCATAGCGCAAAGTTCATCAGAACAATTACCATGAAAGTATTTATAGAAAAGGCACGGAGAAGCTAAGTTACGGCGGTAGATGTTGGAATTTTTGATACCCTGGTGAGCCAGCCAAAATAAGCTGACTCATTTTAGAGTTCACCAATAGAAGGGTTAACCAATCAGAAGGCTCAAAATATTCAATGCACAGTGGATGCGTGCTGGGCTCATAACCTTTGTTGACCATGTTCACCATTGTCTATGAATATAGAATACAGTGCAGTACGTAATCTGTTCAATGAAACAGTGAAACCGAGATGCCAGCTCAGGACCAATAACATTGCGTCTCCTTGTTTAGACTTTCTCAAGAATCTCTAAATATATATCAGTATCAACAGACCAGACGTGGCAGTAATACTCAAAGCGGAGGCGAATGGTAGGCTTATAAGTATTTAAGATAGTTTTGTGCGAGTTATAAGTT